TGCTTTTATTGTGGCTTCTTTTCACCATAAATTCTGAAATTGAAATAGCAATCAATGTTCCAACTGCTTTAGAAATCTTTCTCTTAATGTAATTCTGACAAAACTGTAAACTGATATCCAAATTCTAAGGGCTGGCTTGTTGTTTTCTTTTAATCTGAAATGATATTGATCTACTATATACAGGGAATAAACTTTTAATAACTTGATTTTATGTCAGAATATAAATATCAACTGCTTTGTTGAACAGAAAATATTTGTAGAGATATATTATTTCACAGTGTTTTCAGTAACATAGCATTCTTTTTTAACTGTTTTCATAAAACACATTTCAGGCTCTAGAAATATCTTTTGATGGGCCAAAGACAAGCATATAGAAGCATAAAATAACATATTTTTACCAACCTACTTTGGGGGACATTACATTCTGATCTTTTTCTTAATTTTTTGTTTGAAATAATGTTTAAACTTGTAATATGTGCTTATTAAATCATTAAAACAAATGTTCATTGATTCTATGACTAATTATTACAAAGCAGAGCAATGGTGAGAAATTCAATGTTTGGGACTGGTTTGAGTGTACCTTCAGGGTAAGATATAAAAGAACTCTGTTTAGAAACAACATGAAAGGCAAAATGCAGGGAAATCGTGGCTGATCTTAGAAAGAACTAGAAAAGAAGGGGCAAGGGGGGGAGAATCAGAAGTTACTTGAGAAGTTGAGAAACTATGGCACATCACTTGGCTCTTTTACAGACAAAAACAAAGCTTTAGTATTTCATTAAAGTAGGTCCAAAGCCATTATGAAAGGAAAAAAGACATTATCAGTGCTATCTCAACCATTCAGTGGAGTGAAATGGTTCATTCTGATGGCAGATCCTGGGAAGCATCAGCAAGGTGCTTGGAGAAAAAAAAAAACTATGTTCCTTTAGCCATCCTGAAGGCATCCCATCAGCAGCATTGACAAAAAAAATCAGTGTTCAGTATCATTTGTTTATGTACATGCAATAGAAAGGGGCTGAATTGAAGCAAGCTCTGGAGTAACCTAGTTGTGAAATCTGTAAGACCTATTCATGTAATGTTTGCTAATCTGACCTAGGAAGTAAGTCCAGGTAAAAAAGATTGTTCTTCCTGGCAAAAGTACCTAAAACTCTTCTGAATGTTAAAAGTTGCATCTGGGAGAAGGCATAATATTTTCAATGCAATCTGATTTTTTATTATTATTATTAGTTCTCTTGGGTCTTAGTACAAGCATTTATTAATAACTGAATACATTTTAAAGTATGTTTGGTACATATTTTTTTCATAAAATTATTGTTATCATTATAACAATAATGATAATCATATAACAATTCATTTCATTTTCCAGAAATAATTTCATGGGATGGGAAATCTCAAGGTGGTAAGAAAGCAAGCAAAAGTATGTGCAATGAAATAGATTTTATGCAAAAACCAGGAATTATATTACTTTGGCATCCTATGCAACTGTCATATAATGGTTGTGTTTTAATTACTACAGCATTATTTGTTAATTTGTAATATTACCCTATCTAAGTAATATCAATATCTAGTATAACCTTAGCAAGTCAGTAAAATTAAAATAGCAACTAGCAATTTTATTTATTTATTTTTATTTGATTTGATTTGTCAATCACTTACAAGATAATAGAGATAAGAATAAACATAAGTATGAATACAGGAAATAGGTACGAATAATTGGGAACAATAGGATAGGGACTGTAGGCACGATTGTACGCTTATTAGCATATCATGTAAAGGGATCACCTGAGTCTTTTTTCTGAACTTGCATTATATTTACCCATTAATAATCAAAACACTGAAAGGGACCAAAATTTGTCAACCACAATGTATTTATGTTTCCCAAGTTAATGGGAACACTAAATCTAGCTTGATGTTGACAATTTTTTAAACATCACTTAGACATGGAGATATAGAGGATATATACAAATCTAAACTTATGAAATGATTTCTTCTATTCACCTCAGAAATCATGTTGAAATATACATTTGATATTGTCTATGTCACATTTTCACACTTTTGTATTTGATAATAAAAGAAATAAGTCCTGCACATGGCAACCTGAATGAAATATAGGATAGGAAACTGATAAACAAATGGATCAGTTCAAACTTAGCAGACTTAAATAATAACAAACTCCAGCAGTTGCCATTTGCCCTACAAGGGATAAAAGACTACTGATATTTACAACAAACCAGCACTTTCATGCAGCTGGTTTTTTTTCTGTTTGAAAATCAAATAAGGGATTGGTTCCAACCTAACCACTGTCTCTCAAAACTAAGTTCAAAGTTAAGTCATCCTCCCATTACATATTCAATTACACACCAGACACAAGTCTCTAACCCTTGCCCTCTTGTCTGCCCTTTACTAACTTCTTTCTGTTATACTGGAACACACTTTTAAGAGGACAAAGTACTGTAATTCTCCTTTCAGTTGCTACTGTAACTCCACTGTCTTCAAAATTCTTGCAATGAATTAAATACATCTGCCACTTTGTTCAGAGATTTTTTATCCATATACAGTTACTATCAAATAAAAAATGAGTAGGCTAAAATATTCTTCTGATTAAGACCTACTAAATTCACTCTTGTCTGAATAAATTGCACAGAATTAATATGTTAGATCAAGAAAATGGTTCAAGGAAAGGAATCCTACACCACTGTTGACATTTTAGTAAAATTGAATGTATTAACAGACATGATTACTTAAATTTGACTCTGACTTACAAACCGTTCAAAAGTGACAGTACTAAATTCTTACTGACAAAAAATGGATGACTTATGCTGAATAGTAACAAGTTGTAAAGGTTTATTTCAAAACCATGTTTTGAATACTGTATCCTTCTACCAGCCTATATAATTCCTACATACAGATACTGCTATATGGTCAACATGGATACTTAATTCCATGGGTGGATTCCTCTCTAGAGTAATATATATGGATATACCATTTAATTGTAATGATTTTATAATTAATAATAATGGGATATTTGTGATAAGTAAAAGATTCAATTTGAAAAAAGCTATGGTACTAGCTGATTTTGAACCCTTTTAATGATAGGAGTATATATGAAATTATGAACAAACCAAATTCTGATGAAAAAGTATAACAAGGAAGGAAATAATTTCATTTCAAACTGGGTTATATTTCTTAGAACAAGTAGTTCAGGGGTGGGCTGCTGGGGGTTCACCGGGAGAACCCCTAGCTAAGATTCTGCATAGTTTGACTGGTTGGCCCCGCCTCCCATCCCTCCCAGGAGTCTCCACATGGCAAGTAAGTGCAGAGCGCGCGCGGAGGCTCAGGGATGGTGAAAAACAGGCCTCCTGGAAGTTTGGGAAGGCAGGAAATGAGCCCGTGTCCAGCTTCCAGAGAGCCTCCGGAGTTCAGGGAGCCTGGACTCAATTAAAACAATAAATCAATTAAACCATTAATAAATTATTTTATAGAAATTGATTATCTAATCATTGATATAGGTAATGAGGTAGAAAAGTTGTAAGTTTTGAGGTGATGGATTAATCAGTGTTTGATTAAAGTAATGAGGTAGTATTGAGAGTCTGTAAGGAAAGGGCGAATTGTTTTACTAGAAGCTGTTATTTACTGGGTTGGAGGAATTTATTGCTCCGATGGCTGCTGCTATTACACTGTAGACAATAGGCTGTAATGGGATGTTCAAAAGCATGCTGGATTATTGAAAGAGAGCAAAACTCACTGAATTAAAACACTTTAACTACAATCGATATGTCTCTGAATAAGATTGTTTTCCAATAGTTTCCCAAAGTTCTTCAAGTTGAGTAGTAGTAAAAAACAATCCAGAAATTTGGGTTAATCAATCCAATCTGTCCTTTACTTTTAAAGTTACTTCTAGCTGCAATATCTTTTTTTTTCTTTACTAAATCTGACAGTCACTCCCGATCTTAATCGCAGCTAATTTCTTCCTTTGAGTCCCACTTTCCAAGGAAAATTCCACTGCAGAAATTGGAGTGATTCTTACCAAGACTAAGCACGCTGTTACAAGATATTTCCTTTCTTTTCTTTTTCACTTCCGTCCCAGCTGCCTTCCCGGCTTTGATTCAGCCACGCTGGCGGTTCTCTTCTTGCTAGGGCTGAGAGTGAGAATGACTGGCCCAAAGGTCTAAATATTTTCTCCCTAAGACAAAACTTGAACTTCCTGTTCCTACTTTAGCACCTTTTGTGTATGTGCTTCAAGTCAGTACTAGCTTTTGGCAATTGCCTGGACAAATCCCTGCAGTCGTCTTAGCAAGATTTCAGAGATTTCTTGCCATTGCTGTCTTCCTAAGGCTGAAAGAAAGTGACTGACCCAAGTGCCATAGGTAGGACTAGAATTCACAGTCCCCCGTTTTTAACCTGGTCCTTTTAACCACTACTCTAAACAATATGTTTTACATTTCACCATTCTGGTCTTCCTTTAAGGACAAGAACAAATTAGTCATGAGATCAATTCCACCTTAGTAAGGATTATTTTAACAAGTGGTATAGCTTGAAAAGTCCTGATGTAATGACTGGTATCCCTCTTCTCTTCGAGTTCTCTAATTCCTTAAAACAATATATTGAACAACTAGGCGATTAATAAAATAGCTTTTATCAGATAGCCTGAAATCTGCATGGGAATTGGGTTTAAAATCTATTACCTGCTGATATTCTGCTAAAATTTTGGCAGGAGATATTTCCAAAATGGAAGAGATCAAATTATTTAATCATTTACCCCTGTGATTCAGATGCTCTCCCCATTTAATTTGCTAAAGACATGCTATATAATAATAAAGCAATGTTGGTATTTAATAGATTGAAAACAAGACAGACTGAATCATATGTGGAGCATTCTATCCCTTTGGAAGTGATATCTCAAATGCAGAAGGACTATAGCACAACAGTGTTTTAATCTCCCTGCAAAGAAGAGCAACAAAACAGACAGAATTGAAGACTGACAGGAACAGATGCAGACTTACCACTTGAACAGTTGGGTCCACCCCAGCCAGGCTCACACTGACAGGTGTTTGGAGCAATGCAACGGCCATGAATGCATTTATCAGTACAGTGAGCTGTCAAAGAAACAGGGTGAGTGAAACAGATAATGAAAAATCAAAAAGAATAAAAACAATGAAGGGGCAGGTTGCATAAAAGCAACAATGAAGGTTGCTTTTCTGCAACCTAGCCATTTCCAATTTCCTCTTAAAATTAAGAGGCTGTTAAGAGTTGTTCAATTCTTGTTTGAATTAGTTCTCTATATATCATTATTCTATCATCCATCTATATGCATTTATTTACTAATTGTCCCAGTTTGCTACAATTAAAACAAAAAGACAAAACAAAAAGAAATTAAGAAATTAATATTTTAACCGTGTAAATAAATATTCCAGTGTTGAAAAACAAGGAACACTGGTATTAAGTAATATTAGCATTTCATATAGGAAAGTTTCCTAAAATCTAAATTTCATATTTATTAAATATCATTCATACAGAGCTTTCTAATCAAGCACTGAACTCATAAATTCCTTTAAAGATTACCATTTCTAAGATAAAAATGCATCCAAAGAAAGGTCTCCTACCATCTTTTCTTTATTTTATTTCTTGATAAATTAATATAAAACAGTACCTTGGTAATTAAAACAGAAACTTCTGAAAATTGTCGTGCTTTAGGTAATATTAGGTCAATGTCTGCAAACAGTCAGTGCAAACAGCTTCCTGCCCCCTCACTTTTCTATTTTTATCATTACCTATTTTATTCTTTGATCACTTATCTGAAATAATACAAATACTAATGTTTCTTATATGAATATGAAACTGCAGTGGCATAATTTAGTCTTCCTTCCCTAGGAAATTTTTAAAAAGAGCACCGCTGCCAAGAGATAAATCATAGATTAGAAGCAATTAGACTATGGCTGGTTGCTTAACAACTGTTCCAGGTCACAGCAGCCTTGGAACAGATGCCTTACAGCAGGGGTGGGGAACTACAGGATGGCCCCTTTAGGACTTGTGGACTTCAACTCCCAGAATTCCTAGGCCACCATGACTGGCTCAGGAATTCTGGGAATTGAAGTCCACAAGTCCTAATTGGGCCATAGTTCCCCACCTCTGCCTTACAGTATAAAGCACTCCCAGCACCATTGTAAAAAGAGCTATCAGTTCCCCGGTCACATGATTCCATTTCAGGTACTTGGAAACCTGTTCACATTATCAACTGGCTTCCAAATGCCCTGCAATCATGTGATCACCTTTTGCAATCTTGTCTATCCTCTTCCCCAGAAAAGGAAGATTGCAAGCAGAAGGATGTTGGATTTGAGATATGTTGCCCTAACGAATCCAAGGGATTTCTCCTTCCCTCCATGCAGGGAGCAGAAATCCTCCCATACACTGGAGAAACTAGATCTCAAATCTGGCAAAAAGGCCAGCATTCTAAGACTTCCAGAACTATCCTATTTGCTAGTGTTTTTGCCAGATTGAAGGGCCATTCCTCTAGCATGCCAAGAAACTTTCAAAGGAATCGACTTCCACTCTGTCAAAATCACTATCAAATAGTCTCATTCTTCAATCATTCTCCCTAGTGAGCAGAGAAAAGGTCCTGCCTTCTGGGTGTCATGGGAAGCTGGGGTTCTGCTTAACAACCACAACTGGGAAAACCAGGATTGTGGTCATTGAACAAAGCAGTCACATGTCTTTAACAGCTGCTTCATGCAATTATTGAGATTCTGGACCCAAATGGAAAACTACCCATATAATGATATTTATGATGGGGTTGCATTGAAAGACTTTTGAAGATAAAAAGATGTTTTTATCATAATTTTCCAACACATTTAACAATAAATATAAAATATGTTAGAAGGATGTTAGTCATCTTTAAAGAACAATGTCTAAGATCTTAAGAAAATATAACATGAGACCACTAATCTGCTACATTTGAATTTATGGAAAAATCCATTAAACTAGCCACTGTCGTCCAATAAGTAATAAGATAAGTATTATCTGTCTTATTTCAGATAGATGCCTAATTTCTATAGATTAATAATAGTTAATAATGTGTAGAGTAAAAAGTAAGCATATGTTGTTATTTTCTGTCATAAGATTTCTAGAACAAGATTCATAATTTTGGGAGTGGTGGGGGTGGTATATTTGTATTTTAGAAGCAAGGATTTGTAAAATGGCTGCTGTGTAGGAGACAGCTGATAGAAGACATTGTCTAATGTCTCAAGATTTTTTCCACTATTGCAGCATTCTGTAGAACAAAAGTTATCTGACAAGATAAGATGGTATCAAAAGAGATATCAAAAATTGGTCTCACAAACAAATATCACTTAGAAAAGGATGTTTCATTAGATCTACAAAAGAAACTGGATGAGGTTTTAAAATTGAAAGGGGGAATACAAATGACAAACCCAAAGAGTAAAGTGAATATTTTTTTCTATAGGATTTACAAAAGAGGCTTGTTAAAGCCTAGAAGAATTCGGTGAAAGAAGACAAAGAAGAAATTAAGAGAAATCAAATCTTATAACAATATTTGAATGAAATAAAGGTTAGACCAGCTTTATTATTTATTTAAAGCTTAAAATGTCAAACTGGTGGCCCATGAGCTGGTTATGGTCCGTGCACGCCACAGCCACCCTGGCTCCGCAAGGGCAAAACACATCCTGATACATCATGATATGGCTCATGATGCAGTCGGGTTTGACACCCCTGGCTTAGACTGATAGAAGTAAAAGGAAGGAATATAAGGATTGTTTATTTAATCAAAGTTAAAACAAGATATATTGTTACCATAGTTCTGGCAGTCTTTTATGGACTTTCTGTTGACATCATAACTTAAAATAGTTTCAGGGAGTTGTTTATAGATAAGAGATGTGAAATGATAAATGTTTGTAACTTTAGTGGAGGTGAAGAATCATTATGTTTGTTTATACTTGTATTAAGAAAATCACTTCTAAATACAATTTTCTCTTTATTATATTCTTACTTTTCTCTTTTTTCTCTCTTGTTCTTTTCTTTTTCCTTGCACTTTTTATTCTTTATTTCTATACTTTCTTCCTCAAGTTTAATTAGTATCATATTTTACTATTATAATCTAAATATATTCAAAAAAAGGCGTTGATCTGTGGAATTACTTCAGGCCATATGAAGCAGTAGAAGAGAAAAGGGGCAGCAATCCCATGTGTGCCCAAGAACTAAAGTGATCTTTTGTTAATTATTTAAAAAATACAAACAGATGGGACCGTTATGGAAACTGGTATTTAGGAATAATAGCTTGCTATCATGCCCTTCTCACAATCAGTGTTTGTGGAATGTATCTTTTCTTGCATAAAAAGAGACTATGGTTTTGTCTTTAGTTGCTATGCTGTTCTATGACTAAAGGATATTCCTTCATTTATTTAGTTTTAATTTGCTAAAGAAAAACACTATCCATTTTTAATCTTATAGTAGTATCCTCCTGACTGACTGACAGCTGAAGAAATAATCAGTAACTCTGCTAATTCTGGCACCAGAGATGCTAGACAAGAAATCAAAACTGCCAACTGGAGCTGTCAATCAAAATTACATACACATTAACATTGCACTTCACTTTGAAGGAAAAAGAATGCAGGAGGTGATTTAAATCATAAAAAGGTGTATTAAACCTCTAAAATGCTGACAAATGGGATGCAAGTTCTCAATGTACCTCATAAGAAGTCTATCCAGGCAAATCAGGCTTGTATCTTCAAGATAAACTCTCTGCATGCCACAAATCACCAAGTTCTATACGCTTCAATTATGTGCATTGAGAATCAAATGAAAGAGCTGCTGTTGTGTTTATGCCTATATCAGTATTATTTTAATTATTTATATGTTAATCTACAATTATGAACAAGCCATTTCCCAATGTCTAGGACTCTAGGCTGTATGGTAATGCAAATAATCTTAATTTGAAACTTTTTAAAGCTCTTTTTAACAATGGCTGGTTGGATAGTTTTCCAACTGGAATTACCATCTGCAAGTACAGGATAACAAAATAAGAAAAACCACTGTTTTAAAAAGAAAATTAATGGCAGGAGCAAAGGACACTGTATATAAACATATGTTTCTATTGACCAGCAGGATTGCTTCAATGCACACTGTAACACATTCAGTGCACTAAACTACAATACTGCATACGGTTTTGGTTGCCACATCATAAAAAAGATGCTTTAGACACTTAGAAAGAGTACAGAGCAGAGCAACAAAGATGATTAGGAGACTAAGGCTGAAATATATGAAAAACAGTTGCAGGAATTGGGTATGTCTAGTTTAATGTAAAGAAGGACTAGGGAGTGACATGATAACTATGTTCCAATACGTGAGGAGCTGCCACAAGGAGGAGTGGAACAACCTATTCTCCAAAGCACCCGAAGGTAGAACAAGAAGCAATGAATGGAAACTAATCAAGGGCAGAAGCAATCTAGAACTAAGGAGAAATATCCTTACTCTTATAACAATTAATCAGTGGAACGATTTCCCTCTGGAAGTTGTGGGTGCTGGAGGTTTTTAAGAAGAGGTTGGACAACCTTGTCTGAATGGGTTTCCTGCCTGATTAGGGGATTGGACTAGAAGACCTCCAAGGGTCCTTCCAACTGGGTTATTCTGCTAACACCTTCCCCCCTCCCCCATCAATTAGTGTCACAGAAGCATCCCATAACTGTAAACCACCATATTTGCCCCACTGCTCTTCTAAAGACATTTTGTTTCTTGGGGAATTCTCATTAGCATTCTCATTAACATATTATTAAGAGTTGGATATTCTTATGACAATAACTTTACTTACGAATGCACATTTCCCTGCTTTCATAAAATCCAGGGCAACACTGAGATTTCCGTCTATACATAGTCTTTTCTCCATGCCTATAAGCGGTTCGATAGCTGATTCTGTTAAAATATGGACATGTAAAATTTGTGAACAACTGTTTCAAAAGATCCAGCTATGGCTATTTATGGATAAATTGGATTGTTCTATAAATCAGCTACATCCCTTACAAAGAAAGATAAACAACATTACCAGCAAACTCCATTATTTGCAAATGGAGATCCTTTCCAAGGTCTGTGACAAATACTTCAGAATTGCAGCTGATGTTATATGGATTTGTAATTTACATTTGTTATTAAATATTTTAACTAATGAATTAGTACACATTCAGACCAATATTTAATTTTTAAATACACAAAACTATTGTCAGACAAGGGAGCACAGTAAAAACAAACTATACTTTTCTCATGTGTCACCATTTTACAAATTCAGAACTTTTAAAACTCAAAATGATTCAACGTTAAAAACAAATTCTGAATTATTCAAAAAAAATCAGTAAATAAATACATGCATTTATTTGTTAAAGCAATTTATACAGGGGTGGGATCCAACCAGCGTAACTACTGTTATACCGGCGGGTGGGCCAAAACAGCAGCAGACATAGAACTGGTTCTATGTATGCTCTCCGTTTACTGCTTTTCAGAGCAACCAGTTCTACAGAAGTGGACCGAACTGGTAGAATCCCACCCCTGAATTTAAATAACTGCCCAATTCACACACAGTGGCTCCACTATGCGTAGTTAAAGCCATAATTTCACTTCTGCCCAATACAAGGAGGGCTATTAAATACAGAGTAATTATAATTGAAATTTTCTGTTCTCAAATAATAATATTATATCCATTTTACTATAATTATATTTTTAGAAAAAGAGGAGATCTTTGCAAGTCATACATTCCTCTTTAATCTAATAATTCATTTCAAAATTCAGGATAATATTTTCAAGGCTATCTTGAAAGATAGATAATTTATACATGTAAATATCCATATCATCTGATTTTGCAAATGCTTCAACACATTTCTACTGTTTTCAACATAGATCAACTATTAAGTACTTATAAAATATCCCTTTAAAAGGTTAATCAAAATATAATTACTAAAAATCACCTGTGTCGTGTACACTTAAACCAGTTCAGTATGTCTGTACAGCTGGTGTAGTAAATCTGATCAAAAGGATGGGGATAGGATTCTTGCACTGTAACAGAATAACTGGACAGAAAAAAAGGAATAAAATTATTAAACATGCACTTTGTTTGAGTAATTAAGTGAAGAAATTTCAATAGGATGGAAATAAACAGTTAGACGGGAGACATTATTGCTGATAGTGAAAATAATTTCATTTACATTCCACACTGCAATGGCCCTGAGGTTAAACTTAAAGGTGAATAACAATGGGGGGCATTGCAACGGCCCTTACTTTGAGTGGGGGTGGTAAGTATCTTTTAGTGGATCTGTTGTAACTTTGAATGTCCATTAAGTGACCAATCATAAACCAAGGATTATCTGTACTGTTAAAATGAGACAAGCTTAATTCAAGTGAGCCTATCTTTTCAAGTTTATCTAAACAATTCATTTTTAAAAAAAAATCAAATATACAATATCTTACAAATCTAATGAGAACCCACCCATTTTTTATACCAACTGTTTATGATAATCCAAGAAAGTTCATCCCATTCTATGTCAACTTAGACAATGTAATTCCGAGACACTAGAGTAGAATGCAGATTGCAGCCTTTAGTTAGGAATTCTGCTTATTAAATTCAGATACAAGATTATTTCTATATACTTAATATATTTACTCTTGAACACCCTTGAATATGAGAAGTCACATGAAACGTTGCTATACTTAGAAGAAGAAAAAAACCACTATCCAGATTCACAGTTTTTTAAATTTTTTTCCTTCAAGCTGATTGTGTTAGAATAGTTTATCAAAGAAAAAGAAGACACATTGTGCTGATTCTGCTTTTTCCATTTATGAGCCCAAGGACATCCTCAGAAAATTTAGAAGCGAATTATTGATCACATCAAAACTACAAACAACAATTACAGTATGCATTGGTACATGTTTGATTTAATTTTTATATTATTGAATACTATAAAATAATAGAATGCATTATTTTATGAGCATACAATGAAATGATGAATATTATGCTTGGGTACATAGTTCTCCAGATGTTTAGACTGTTTGGGGCAGTTTTGTCTAGCTATTGAGTCTTTCCCAAAGACCTGGGATAGGTAGATGTACAGTAATTAGTCAATGATATTAAAGGATGCAAGGATGATATTACAGAATGTAAGCTGTTCCAAGTAAAGCTGACTTTTGCAATTAAGTGATGATGATCACAATAGTGATTCTGTCAATGCCAATAGGGTTCAAGTGGCACGCTAGATATTTTGAGACTGCATCCAAGGCACCATTTATTATTGGATCTACCTTTGCTTTCATTTGCTACAGTTGTTCTACTTGTATTTGCAGGACCTTCAGACTTTTTATTGCTTCTTATCAACAATTGTTAAGTTTGGAGTAATTTGTGGCAAGTATTTGTCCCACAGTACTTTAGTTTCTTCATTTTCTATTACTTCATCTACTTTGCAGTCCAGCAATTCTTGTTTGCAGGCAAATGATATTTCTTGCAGATATTGCAATCTTCTTGGGCAGTAAATAGAGTCTGCCTACTTCATAGATGAGGGGCATCATTGATTGCTTCTATTTTTGTTTCAAACTCATGCCCTGTTTTAGTAGTTTTATGCCATTCATAAAAATACATCCATACACTTGTGGCTTGGTTTTATATTTTTTAACATAGTCATTTCATAATGTCACCCTTGTCTTGCTATTCTCATGTAATGGAAATTTTACATAGATACTGATTAAAATAATCATGCTAGAAGAATTATTGATTAAAAGTAATGTTACCTCTCCCAGTGGCTACACACATTTGGATCCTCAAGATTTAGACATAGAGTTGAGACTATCCAATGGTTCAAAAGCATGAGCATGAAATGAACAAAAGTATCCAAATAAAGAACCATCTTTTCAACAAAATGCCTGTAAAAAGAGAAAAGAAATGGATTGATAATATTAATGGCCAGGTAATATGCAAGCTGTTATAAAGTCATATACTTTGGGGTAAACAACTAAAGCCAGTCCTGCTATACAATAGAATGAGAAAACCTGCTTCATGCAGAATCTTAAGGAAATAATAGAAAGTGATTATGAATGGTGTAACACAACTTCCCATGTGCAAATGCATTAAATTTCAGACTTATATTTCTGCTTAAACTATATGTTGGTTTGGCAGTGACAGCTAAGAGGTGGTATTCAGCAGGTTCTGATCAGTTCTGGAGAACTGATAATAGAAATTTTGAGTAGTTCGGAGAACCAGCAAATACCACCTCTGACTGGTCCTGCCTCCATCTAATCTATGCCTCCCAAGTCCCAGCTGATTGGCTGGGTCTTATTTTGTTGCCCTGCACAGGAGAATGGAACTGGAAAGCAGGTTATTGAAGTGGGGAGGGAATGGGGATTTTGCAGTATCCGTCCCCTGGAATGATGTGGGAATGGAGATTTTACACATCCCTTGGTGGGATGTGGCCCACCAAGCCACATCCACCAAGCCATGCTCACAGAAACAGTAGTAAAACATTTTGAATCCCACCACCGTGGCACCTGTTTTAGTGACACGCAAGAGTTCAGAAATTAACATTACATCCTTTATTGCCTGTCTGTACTTTATGAAATGTCCAAGCAGTTTCAAGTTGAACTATAACTTTGTTTATTTACAGCAACAAACTATAACAACTGCTCAGTCCTTAATCAGCTTTTTCTAATCAAAATTTCACCCTCCAGCTAAGTTCAAGATATTTTGGGAAGTGATAGTCAGCTCATCCCATGTCTGTTGGCTTCAGATTTATAATTAATATAACAATAGATAAATAACCCAGCCCTGAGGTGAGTTAAGGGAGAAAGACAGTAAATTTGGGAGGAAATAAAAAGAGTATTAAGTTAGAAACTTATCAAGACATCAGTTTTGAGTGTAGTAGATAAATCAATATATTCCAGTGTCTACAATGTACATCAGGCATATTATAGTTGTTTGCTTCTGTTTTCAATTTCTCAATACTTAAAATTTGTGAATTTATTTGTATCCTCACGTGTATTAATATTTTAAAGCAGTGGTCCCTAATCCCTGGTCCGTTGGGCACCAGTCCATAGCAGGCGAGCAACTGAGCTGCACAAATAAGTGAAGTCCATTCCATGAGATGCAGGCAGCCTGCAAACCAACAACACCTTGGATCCATGGGGAAACCTTTCACCAAGGGACCTGTCCCTGGTGCCCAAAAGATTGGGGGCAGCAAAGATAATTGTAATTTGTGAATTCAGATGTAAATTATGCTGATATTACTGATTACTTGATTTTTCAGTTTCTCACAAAATATTTTCTTATTAACTGTGTAAATTGAAGTATAATGACAAACCGTAGTATAAAGTTATATTGAAATGTGGCAGTAACCGAAAGCCAAATGAAATATAATGGCATGAACAACCATGGCTCTTGCTATTCTTTCAAGGAATTCATGATGTTGAAGTACAAATTTAAAGAGCAAAAGGACTAATTCCTGCTTGCAGAAAAAGACTCACATTCAATATTAAAACATATCTGATAAACAACAACAACAACATAGTGGTATAGGACAAAGGTAACAAGAGAAGGGACTACAGTTAATCACTCTGCTCCTATCGTTAAGCATGTCTAGATCCCCTGATCAACCAACAATTTAAAGTATATAATTTTTCAATAGTGAGTCAGTTACATCAAAAATAAATTAAAAATTGTACCCGCTTGTGCATTTTTATTTCAAACATGCAGTATTTCACTTATTAAGAAGGTAATTGTATTTCCTTTTTTAAAAATGTCAATAGTTTTCCTTCTGAATACATTTAACAATAACATAAAAATCAATGTAAAAAAGTTTTGAGCTATTTACATGAACTCCCTAGTGTAAAACATGATTGCATCCTAGATCTTTTGCCTAATTATTAAGAAAAATCAAAACAGAAAATCAGTACAGCTGATTAGCATTGCTAAAGCAGTATATTAGCAATAAAATGCAGAAGGTATATTTAACTCTTGCTATTTCCAATGCTAAGGCATACATTTTAAAATGCTAAAAAGAATATGTTGAGAGTAAAGATTATTTAATAAATGCATCAAATATTTTATATATTTCAACCCTGAAAAACTGAAAATGTATCCTCTAAATAGATTTATACTTAAAATGCTGGTGATGTATATAATAAAGACATCTAATGACTACGACCATGTTTCCCCCAAAATAAGACCAGGTCTTATATTAATTTTTGCTCCAAAAGATACATTAGGGCTTATTTTCCATTGGGTCTTATTTTGGGTCAACTATGGTACTAAATGCATCCATCTGCTGACAATCTTAGTTTGGAGATAGGGCTTATATTATGAGCATCCTGAAAAAACCATGCTAGAGCTTATTTTCCAGTTGGGTCTTATTTTGGGGGAAACACTCTATTCAGGCTGTACTCAGCTTACTGTTGAGTGATAGAATAACTCAATATTAAATTATGTAATGAGAACATTTCAGAGTAATCAAGAAATGCATAAATAAGCTATTCCCTATTTAACAATGATAATTAGAACCGGCAACATCATCACTAAGCAACAGAGTCAAAAATAAGGATATCACATGACTACATCAACTTACAAAGATAGTTGTGGCAGTGATTAAGCAAACCATGCATAGTTCTTCAATGTAATGTTACATGAGCACTATTTGGAGAATCTCTTGCCAGATTCTTCATTACTTTTGTTTGTCAGAAGCTGGCAGTAAAGATCACAAATGGCAATCATGTGACTGTGGGCCTCTGCAACCATTTGCCAATTGCCAAGTGCCTGAATCTGGATACACTGGTTGTGGCTGCATCTGTGAGGATCAGTCTTAAGTCTTGTTCTTATGTACTCTTGTAATTTCAAGCTGTTGCTGAATGAGTGGTTATTCTGTTGTTAAATCTGTAATGACATTAATTATAATAGGAAGAATATAAAAGAAGCTGGTGATTTAGATAATTACTTTTTTAAAAAAATCAAAATCTTTATGAAGATACCATAAGTTTGAACTGAGGAGGCACTTGCTTGCATTGAGAAACAAGAAAAGAAGAATGTTTAGGAACTACAGTCTACTTTACATTGAATGATCCCAGATTGGCATATTCTCCATTAATCTTTTGATAGGAAATTCAGAAGTTAAATCCTTGCTGTGAGCAATAATGTGACTATATTTTTATTAACATAAGCAAAAAAGAATTTCAGTTTTCAAACAGAGATCCTTACAAAATATTTGAATATATTAAATCTGACTGTATTCTCCTTTAGAAAGTAGATAATATTGATAAAGGATACTCTACACAAAGAGTTTTCATATATTTTACAACAATTATTATTGTTTCTAGTACAACCTAATTAACTACTGAGATATTGCATTAAATAAACAAAATTTCAGTGATATATTAACTTAATGAGCCACTTTATTAAACTTATGTATTCTCCATAGTAAAAATTAAGAGAGAATGTTCTACAACTCAGTTGCAACATGAGTTGTGAAGTAATTTACAATAATTTATTGGAGTGTGCATTACTTTGTGCCAAAAAAATAAGATGATACATAAGTAGACTACATTCAACTGGAATCAATAGTTTGTCTCATACAATATCTTCTATTAGATTTTTAAATTAGTCTGTTATAAAATACTTGTGTACACTGGTTATTTGGTACTTTTTGTTGCTAATTATCCTAATCTTTTATTTTCAAAAGCCAATATCAATTATCATTGAAGTAAGTCCTTTTTGCTCACTTACATCAAGCAGAATAGAGAGAAATCAATGGGGAAATATGACAGAATTTCACTCAAATCATACTAATTTTTAACTTTCTTTTGTTATTGTATGCAAGCTGATAAAGAATACAAATAAAATGATGGGGGGGATGTTTTATGTGTTTTTGTTTGTTGTTAAAATCAATAAAACTTAAAAAAAAAGAATACAAATAAAATGATGGGGGGGGGGGGAACCCCTGTGTCTTCTTTACAAACTTTTCCTATCTTTTTAAAAATATATTCATAAATAAATAAAGCCCTCTGTTCAAATTTTGTAGTAAGGTTAACTGACAGGTACATTTTGGAAACAGTTGTAATCTGTCTGCTGAAATAAAGATTAAAAGATCAAGTTTCCCTTAACTTCCAAACTGGTCAAACCACAGCTGGTGCATCAGATTTTGAGCAACTGTTCAATGTATATACAACAAGGCTTCTGTCTTACTGTTGGGTTTGCTCAGGTCATCTGCATGTGGCATGGATTAAAGTAGTTATAAAGCTTTTTAAAAAATATAAAACTAGGCTAAACTTTGAGATTATAGACCAAACTCTTCTGACACTGGTAAACTTTGCCTTATAATATGTTAACATAATATGTTTTGAGGGATTAAATTCACATGGCAAAATTGTATGAAGAACGTTTTTTGCAACAATATTGGAAGAATGAAAAAGTTGTGATTTATCCCATACATTACTAAACTGCATGTAAAAAAACGCAAAGGGAATAGAAAATAATATGTGGAGGGAATTCTCTCAAAATATCAAGCAAATATGTTTTCAAGAGGAATAATTCACTTTCTTGCACCAAAAAAATCTTCTTATATAAAAAAAAACTAATTAACAAAGCATCACTTATTAATGCAATTTATTCTTTATCTTCAGAATTGGGTATCAGAATTTTGCTGATAAAAATCAACTAATCTATTTCATTATTTTTAAATAATAAATAAATCTAATAAATAAATAAAAATAATCTTTCAATTATTTTTATAAAGTAAAAGAAACATGCAAATTAATGATACTAAATTATGAAAATCTCTTTCAGAATTATAGGAAAAAATCATTAAGTTATGTTAGAGAAACACTAGAGTGAATAAAGTATGTTTTTTTTCATTTTCACAAAGTAAGC